TCTAGGCTTTTGAATCCTACATATAAAGAGATCCACTTAGCGATTACGGTAGAATGCGACAAAAGTTTGCTGGTGGCTTTTCCATTGAACATATTCATACCATAGCGAAACACACTTTATAGCACAGGATGACGATTAAAATGGGCTCAGCGTTCTTAACACGCCAGACAAATTTTAGCACCATTTTTGGACCAATGCCACCGCTTGTGCCCGCTTAGCCTTAAAACAACGACATATCTACTGCTATCATTAAAGAGAGCGGTACAAAATTAACTTTTTCATTAGGGATCTAAGCCCGAACTAGCTCTTTAAGATGAATCATTAAGGCCTCCAAAACATTGGGTGATAAAGGAGTTGTTACAATGGATTCACAACATGTAGCTTTACTTTTTTCTACGAGCAGCAATAAGAGCTTTACTACGCACAGAAAATTCCGGAAACTTTTCCCACTTAGGTTAAAACTCGCCTTTGTCAATGAACATGTCCCATGATACTTCCTCCTCTGGGTTGGCACGAATCTGAGCAATTGCAGACTCCAGAAACTGTAGAGGTTCTTTCGGTCTATTGTAGATGAGTCCTGTCATGAGACCCTAGAACGATGGTATTTCCTTATTAGTTACATCTCATATCTGAATTTTTTTTACCCATCATTATCTCAGAACCTAAATTTTTGCTTCTTACACTCACCTTATCACGTACAGAAAATCCAGAAATTTCAAAGTGTAGGTTGAATAACTCTTATCCTATATAGAGGTAAATGGCAATAACCTTAAGTTTCTGTTGCTAATTCGCGAAAATAAAAATTTTGCACCAGAAAAAAGTGCATTCACTTTTAAATTCGGCTTCATTCTTGCGAAAGTTTAAGAAGTGTCGCAATTAGATAAAATTTTTAGCCTGCTCTCAATACCAGTAGATTAATGATTTCCTTCAGCCCAGTTACAAAGGTCCTGCTATTTTCTAATTCTTTATTTCTCCTATCTAGGCCTTCAAGAAGAAAAAATGACATTCTTAATTTGGCAGATCTCCCTTCGCTCATCCTCAGGGATTTCAGCCAGCCAGTAATAGGAAGAGTGTTGCATTAATGTTTGGTGATGAGCATTTATAGCTTAACAAATCACTTTAAACCACTCGGATTTCAAGAACAATGTATAAACAATATTATCGACATAGTGTGAAGCTTTTGCTGAAAAAACAACAGCGC